CACTGTGAGAGCAGCATTCCCTTTGTTCTTGAAAGGCCCAGACAGCAGTGAAACTTTCGCCAGTTCAATAAGATGAAAAAGAAAGGTTAATAAGTTAATGAGTGTTGTGGTTTTTATCACATTTTTAATATTGTATTAGGTTAGTAATTGCAGTTTTTATATTAAAAGTAATGGATTGCTTTTGTACCAACCTGTTAGCAAATTGTTTGTGCCTCCTCTTCCTCTCTTTTACCTTCCTCCCCCATTCTTGCAAATACTCTACATTTCAAGGTTCATGTGATATAATTATATTTGAAGACTTAGACTTCCAAAGACTTTCCAGTTCACCTCCTGGGATATGTTGATCCACGCTTGGATCCATTCTGGCTTCCGATCTCTAGCAGCCAGAAATAGCAACTCACTGGGGTGAATGAAGGAAGTCACAATGACCTCTGTTGGCTGCAGCCTAGATGTGTACTCTTCACTATCCCTTGCATTTCCAATGATCAGTTCTTATTTTTCATGTCTAAGGTAATACTGAAGTTAGTCTAACCTCTCCCACAATGCAGGAATTTGGTCTGTATTGTTACTTGCAGATGGTTGTGACCTTTTCATGATAAGCAGCTCAAAACCTTCATAAGTGAACCTATTTAAGATTAGAAATCTCTTCTCCATATAGATACCAAGTTAGTCTTAAGAATACTCATGTTTCTACCTCCGGGCTTTAGAAAATACAAGGGGGGTACTTCCTCCTTCCTACAGAAACCCTGAGGAACCTCTTTTTTCCAAATAAAGGCTTGCCAATATGAAACAGGTTAAAGCAAAACTTCAAGAGTTGAGGTGTGGTCACTGAGTGAGTTGAGTCACTGAGCTTTCTTCCAAGCTTGCCCCGACCACACTGCTGCAGCGTGAGGTGAGGTACTAAGTATGTGCAAAGCTCTGCAATGAACAATTGGTCCAAGGCCACTTCTGGTGCTACCATACCATTCCAGGTGCCGACTCTATATTTCAGTGACATGAGTCCTGAGGGGACCTCCGGAAACAGATGCAAAGAGAGGACATTTAACTTGACTTAATGAGATACTGAACACTTCCCAGAGCCATGTCTGTCTTCTTCGCAAGGTTGTGCCTCCCATCTTCCAGTTTTTAGGCACACTCTCTTTCTAGTTGCTGTGTTTTGATGCCAGTCCTTCCCTGCCAGAAACAGCCCTTAGGCTCAGTCTCTGTAAAGAACTGCTAGGCCTTAGCGCCTTGGGGTCATTTTCAACATATCTTTAGTCGCATACATCACAAAACTGAATCTCCTGTGTGTGTGTGTGTGTGTGTGTGTGTTTTTAGTGGGGGGCGGGGGTGGGAGATAATGAGCAGGAAAAAAAAACCCAAAAAACTTGGGTTTATTTTTTTCACAATCCTTGACCTCCTTGAAATGAAATTCCCATCAGCCAGCACACTGATTTCATGAGCTGGGTGAAATGGACAGTTTATGTGGAGCAGATGTGAAGCCCTCACGTTGTGAAAAATCTGCTTTGGATTCTTTTCTTGAGTAGGGTGTGTGTGCAGAAGCAAATTTTCTGAAACTACTAGGCACGATCTCACATGGCAGTTCTGAAAGCTGGCACAGTGTGCCTGAACAAGGATTAGCAAAAGCATGACAAATCTGGGCAGAGCTGCAGAGGACCGATCTCTGCCCTACTCCTGGCACAGCCTCATTCCCAGTTGACTTGGCAGAATTGATGGTATGAAAGAATGAGTTTCAGCTTGCATCTAGCCATAGGATTTACCACCTGAGTTTTCAGTGTTGGAGAAAGAAAATTTTAGAGACAATGGCAAGAATAAAACCCCACCCTCAAGGTTTGGAGTTTACTAAGGTGGAGTGTAAGTGAGCAGCATTCACCCTAATACTGGGTGACTAGTTATATGCCACTCAGTAAGTACAATTGCATAACTATGCTATTAAGAATGATTTAGCAATAAACAGAGATCCTTTCTTCCCTTCTTAACCTTAGGGAAATACCTATTTAATTTTCAGTTACTGAGTGTTTGACAGTTTAATAAGCACTTCCACACTTGTGCTTTACAGCAAGCCCTGAAGTGGGTATTATTTCCTCCCTTTGTGAAGGTTGGAGCATTTAGTTTTCTCACCATAAGTGCCTACCGGTCCCTACTGGAGCAGATACCTAGCTCTGCTGATTGCAGTGACTCTTTCACTTCTCTGCTGTCATTATGAGACTGGAGTGAGAACACTTCTGGACAGAGTCCGTAACAGAAAGCTGTTACCAAAGGGCGAAGGAGCAAGGCTGTGGAAGAGTAGCACTGATAACATGACCCTGTAAGCTTCCCACACTCACAGACTCCCACACTTACAGGTGATGCAGAGTGTGGAAAGGGTGACCAACTAGTCTCCATTTGCCCGGGACTCTCCTGGTTTGGGAACTGAAAATCTTGCATCCTGGGAACTCCCTCAATTCTGTGCACACCAATGGCTGGTCAACCCCTGTGTGGATCGTATTTTGCCTCTTTGGTTTCATCTAAATTTCTGGTAGCACTTCCAGGTTCAAAAGACTTAGTCTTCAGACTCTTAGGAAATTCTAGTGGCTTCCAGGACCTCACAGTCAATTGCTGCAAGACAGTTTTACTGAGCCAGGACTCCAAGACTTTTGGTCTCAAGTGGTTACATATTTGAATATTTGAGCAACCAATCCATAATAATAATAATAATAATCCAAGCAGCCAACGGTGGTCAAGTTAATAATAATGACATCTGCTACTGATTATGAGCCAGGCAGTATACTTCAGTGCTTTCCGACCCTCACCTCCAATCCTCAGGACATCTATGTAACGTGGCTATTCATTAGTCTCATTTTATGAATATGGAAACTGAAGTCATACATATTCAAGCAAGGCTCCAGGTCCTGAACCAAGTGGATCTAATTGCAAAGCCCATATTCCTGTAGTACACTTTTCAAAGTTCCTCTAAGTTCCCCTGTATCTTGATCTGAGGAAATTACAGTTGCATGGGTGCTTTGAGGTAATCATTAAAGGCTTTTGTAAACTTTGGGAGTAGGACCAGGCTCACGGTAACTAGGCGATTGAGTACCCTGAGAGTTCCCCAGAATTTCATAGAAATATGGTGTTTAGAAGAAAGAGTCATCTGGTAAATCCTCTAAACCTAAAATTAAGACTTAGCTGCTATATATTCAAACTGACCAATTTTTTTTTTGCCTTCCAAGATTCAGCTTTTGGTACTTTATCATCCAGTCAAGTCTCATGGAGACTGGATTAGGACCATAAGACTTATTCAGATATTAAACTTCACATGATACATTATTTTGTGTAAAACAATTTTTAGATTAATGTGCTACAAAGTTTTGCCAAGCCCTTAAGAGGGAGTTTATCAATTCAGTGCTTTTGCATTTGTGCTGTCACTACCCATGTTTGAATGCATTTACTTTTGTGCATAAGTAAACAAGTTTTTGTTTGAAAGTTGAGACTAAGAATACCTGTTCTTGTCCACACCTGTTTAACTTTGTCTTACCGTGCTGGCAAACATACTGGAGTTCTTCAGCATTTACTGCTAAAGCAATGGTGCTTACTCACAAGCCAAATCAACTGGCAATGCTCTTTCCTGGTGGATTTCATTTGGCTAATGAGTTATAGTAACAAATTCTAATTACAAATTCTGAATTTGACATAATATATGTTAATTGGATGTACATTTACTATATTATATTGAGAGAGAGATTTGTGGAAAAAATGTATACTCATTTTCAAAAAGAAACTTTTGTTTGTATCTGAAAAATGAACTCTTAACAAATTTCATCTCCGGGTTGTTAAGAGCCCAGGTTCTGGATTTCATAGCTTGAACAGCTTTGCCTGAAGACTTAGAAAACCTGCTTCACCGGATCACTTAACAAGAGTAAAATCTCCTTTGTGTAAAGTTTTCTTGGAGGTGGTGGTGTACCAGTACGCTGACCACCTACTGTCAAAAATAACATCTATACTGGACATTCTCCTATCAAATAGTAGATCCAGAAGCTTCTGGTGCCATTGCAACTTATATTAAGAAATAGTGGTTAAACAGCTACTGAAGAAGACCTAGGTACTTTCCCAAGTAAATGAAAACCCTCTGGCATTCGAGAGCCAGTATGCAGGCTGGATTTCAATTTCTCTTGAGCCCCTGCACTGTGTTACATTGGTGGCATAAACAAACTGTACAACGATATGAGACAACCCTGTGGTTAATGTGATTCAGGGTCAGATGATAATTTCTCTGTGTGCAGACACAGAAAGTTTTACTTAATTTTCTATACCTAAAATACTTAGAAACCATAGTCATCCATATTGATATTTTATATCATCTCAACTTCTCTTGCCGAAACTTGACCCACTGTTGCAATCATTTTACATTTCCTTGGCTCTATTTTCATTTATGTTTAATTCCAGAAACCACATCAAGTCTTTGCAGAATGAAGGAGAGTATAAAGAAGTAGAAATGTACACATGCATCTCTAAAATCAGTCGGGCCTAGGCAAAGCACCCTGCACTTAAACACACAATACATTTTTTCATGATTGTGTTGAACTGACGTAACCTAACCTGTTTTTATATCCTTCAAAATAAGGTGGGTATGAATGCTTTCAGCCCTTGTCAGTAGCTTTGATTATCCTGTTTTTGTTAGATCCCTCCTCTTGGTTTGATCATAGTAGTTACTCTATTTCTTTTTATAAGTTGGTTTGCAAAGGGTGGGGCTTGCAGACCATTGGGAAGTTGTAACAGCTGTGAGTCATATTGTTGAAGGCAGAACTTTTGAGCCAGACTATTTATGTGAAGGAACAAGATGCTGTTATTTACAACAGAGTGAACTGAGATTCAGTCAGTAAAAGTCTTTGTTTGCAGAAATACAGATCCAAGACAAAGACAGGATGGGTACTGCTGGAAAAGTAAGTGGAACATTTCTATCTCCTCCTCATCATGACCTAATGGTGTGAGACTGATACTTAGAACTTTGAATCCATTAAAGTAATTAAACACTTGGAGATATTCCTTGAGGAATGAAACGCCTCATGAGCAGGCATACAGTGAGGGAAACACTGGGTACAGTGTTTCAGAGAATGTCAGTGGAAGCAGGGGTAAGTTGGAAATAGCATATCCAATGTTAGCAAGACATTGGAGGAAAATAGAGAAATGTGATTTATATTGGCATTATTCATAATTTGATTTCAGGATAGCTGGGTAATTGCTCCAGGAAGCAAAATGTTTCCACAAGGACACTTCAATCGTCTCAGTAGCATGCGCTGCCCTCACTGCAGTAGTTCAATGGGAGACCAGGGTCTCATGCCCAGATGTTGGAAGAAACATTCCTGCCATTAAGAATGGAACATGCTAATTCTGGGATGCAAAATGGACAAGAAAGTGTCATGATTTTTAGGTTTCTTACAAATGTAGTTTTTATCAAAATATATATTTTAAAATTCTTTAAAATCAAACTATGTTATTGGTAAATTATGTTTATTGTTTTAAAAACAACAGAGTCAGCAGAGTTGGTATTAACTTTAGAAATAGCTTTACTTTCTTTTTTTTATTTGAAAGTAGGTCAGTATAATTCCTTGCTTTAAATGGGTACGTAATTGCTTAAAGGACTAAGTGCTTTGGTTTGTTTTGTTTTAACTTGAACAATTTTGCATTTAGCCTGCTTAAGGTTTTGGAAAAATAAAGATGACATGTGAAGTCTGGGTAATGTGACAAGTCAGAAAACTCTATGATGTTAGAATTTGAAATAATTTTTACTAGAATTGAGTAGAACTGGAATAAAACCATCCTAATTTGGGTCACAAATCCAGCAAAACTAGATTACTTAGGAATTTAATTTTACACTACAGAAGCTAGCAAATCTATCCATGGAAATTAATGAATCTTATAACTGAAAGGAATCTTAAAAATTTGCAACTTTAACCACCCAACACACGCCTCAGGTCTGGTTACACTATTTCTAGAACGTGGATATTCATCCTTTGTAAGAACATTTCTAATGATGTAGAAAGTAGCCTCCAGGCAGCGCTTTCCAATTATAATTAATAATACAGTGTATAATATATAAAGACTATAAAAGCTATATAATTTTGATATATGGTCATGCAATAGTGTAGTTTGCATAAGGATTATATATTTCCCAAGGTGCTGTAGTGTTCCAGTGTAGTTCATGAAAGGAGTTTCCCTTTACATTGGGATTGATTTTTTTCTCTTTATAATAAATGTGTTCTTTTTCATTAAAAAAGTAAAAGATAACTGTATTAGTTTCCTAGGGCTTCCATAACAAAGTATCACAGACTGAATGGCTTAAACAGCAGAAATTTGTTTTCTTGTACATCTGAAGGCAAGTATTCTGAGATTAAGGTGTCATCAGGGTTGGTTTCTTTTGAGGCCTGTGTCCTTGGCTTGTGGATGACCCTCTTCTCCCTGTCTTCACACGATCTTCCCTTTTTGTTTGTATCCTAATCTCCCCTTCTAATAAAGACACCAGCCATATTGGATTAGGTTCCACCCTGATCACCACATTTTAAATTAATTACTTCTTGAAAGACCCCATCTCCAAATACAGTCACCTTCTGAGGTACTGGGGGTTAGGACTTCAACATATGAATTCGGAGGGAGACACAATTCATCCCATACCAGTGAATATTCTAGAAAATTTGGAAGGTCAGAAAATAAGAGGGAAAAAAATCAATCATAATATCACATTCCCAGACTATCATTTTTGTGTGTGTGTTTCCTTCTATTTTTCCATCCATAGTTTATGTAGCCATACTCATATAATATACAAATATTTTTATCCTATTTTTCCAACTTAAACATTTTTTCAATTTATTACAATTTATAAACATTTTAAATGTCTAATTTTCTGCACTTACACAATTTATTTCATCATTCCTCTATTATTGTTTACATATTTTCCTTTATAAATAGTGCTGTGATTACATCTACCATATAGAGAGATTTTTCTAAAGATAGTATTTTCTCAAGGTAGGCTTTAAAAATGGAATTACAGGGTAAACATGTCACAACATCCTTAAGTATCTTGATGTACCATGCAAATTACTTCCTAAAGGGTTGACATAGGTAAGATGGCCCATTTTACTATTCTCTGACGATACTGTGTATTCTCATTAAGTTCTCATTAGGTAAAAAGTCATTATCAGAGCACGGTGGCTTGTGTCTGTAGTCCCAGCTACTGGGGAGGCTGAGATGGGAAGATAACTTGAGCCCAGGAGCTAGAGTACAATCTAGGCAACAGAGTGTGATATTGTATTAAAAAAATTAAACTTCATTATAGGCTTGAAAGGCAGAGAATTGTATCTAATTTTTATTTTTTTAAAAAGGCATTTTTATGAGTGAGAACAAATATGTCACAATCTATTCATTAATCTGTTGCAGTTTTTTCCATAGGTCCTTTGCCTGCCATGTTATCTCCCAAGGTGTAAGTGTGGTATGTGGAAGTGGGAAGGAGTGTTAGGAGTGAAGTTGTTAACGCTTCCTCTGTAAATTTGAGTAAGCATTGTATTTATCAAATGTGGTAACTTTTATCTATTTCGCTTTAATATTTTCCCTCAGTACTACTTGCTGTCAATGTGGAAAATTTACTATTTCTCAACATACAAAATTTTAATTCTTAGAAGCTGTTTCCTTTATGACTTTTTTTAACTTTTATTTTAGGTTCAGGGGTACATGTGCAGGTTTGCTACATAGGCAAATTGTGTATTGTGAGGTTTGGTGTACAAATTATTTTGTCACCCAGATAATAAGCATGGTACCTAATTGGTGGTTTTTCAATCCCTACCCTCCCTCCAACTTCCACCCTCAAATGGGCCCTGGTATCCATTGTTCCTTTCTTTGTGTCCATAGGTACTCAATATTTAGCTTGAGTACCTATGTACTCAAGGTACATAAATGAGAACATGTAGTTATTTAGTTTTCTGTTTCTGTGTAGAGGACTACGTGCTCCCAAACGAGACGTTCCCGATAAGTCCTGCTCTTGCAAACAAAGCAGGGCGTTCCTTCCCTGCAAACAGGGAGGACAAAGGAGCCAGCTGCAAACAGCAGACCCTGGGGGCTGATATATGTGTAAACATCTTGAAAATCCAGAAAGTCAGGGAACGGTCAGAAAAACAACAATGTGTCTTTGTGACTTGGCAACATTCTACAAACGACTGTATAAAACAAAGCAGAGTGTGTCGTTTGGTGCGGCCCCCATGTTTGCATTGTCCTGTATTGTCTTGTGTGTTCATTCCTTTGTTTAGGAAACACGCAGACCCCAACATTTCTGCGTTCATTCGCTTAGGATAATGGCCTCCAGCTCCATCCATGTTCCTGCAAAGGACATGATCTTATTTTTTATATGGCTGCACAGTATTCCGTGGTATATATGTACCACATTTTCTTTATCCAGTCTAGCATCGATGGACACTAAGATTGATTCCATGTCTTTGCTATTGTGAATAGTGCTTTAGTGAACATATGCATACATGTGTCTTTACGATAGGACGATTTATATTCCTTTGGGTATGTACCCAATAATGGGATTGCTGGGTCAAATGTTAATCCTGTTTTAAGTTCTTTGAGAAATGGCCAGACTGCTTTCCACAATCGCTGAACTAATTAACCTTCCCACCAGTAGAGCATAAGTGTTCCCTTTTCGCCCCAAACTCACCAGTTTATTTTTTTGACTTTTTAACAATAATCATTCTGACTGGTATGAGATATTACCTCATTGTGGTTTTGATTTGTATTTCTCTAATGATCAGTGATGTTGAGTATTTTTTCATATGCTTGTTGGCCATATGTATGTTTTATTTTGAAAAACATCTGTTCATGTCCTTTGCCCACTTTTTTAATGGCGTTGTTTGTTTTTTGCTTACTATTTTGTTTAAGTTCCTTATAGATGCCGGATATTAGACCTTCGTTGGATGCATAGTTTGCAAATATTTTCTCCAATTCTGTATGTTGTCTGTGTACTCTGTTGTTGGTTTCTCTTGCTGCGCAGAAGTTCTTTAGTGAAATTAGGTCCCGTTTGCCAATTTTTGTTTTTGTTGCAATTGCTTTTGGCATATTTTTCATTAAGTCTTTACCAGGTCCTGTGTTCAGAATGGTATTCCCTAGGTTATCTTCCAGGGATTTTATAGTTTTAGGTTTTAGATTTAAGTCACATCTTAAGTTAATTTTATATATGATATAAGGAAGGGGTCTGGCTTCAGTCTTCTGCATATGGCTAGCCAGTTATCCCAGCACCATTTATTGAGTAGGGCATTCTTTCCCCATTGCTTGTCCTTTGTTATTTTTTCTATCACTCTTAAGCATAAAAGTTATTCCATGCTCAGTATGATTGATATTTACATCTTCATTGATTGATAAAATAGTTTGACTTAAAAAATAAATCTTGGGCCAGGCACAGTGGCTCACAGCTGTAATCCCAGCTCTTTGGGAGGCCGAGGCAGGCAGATCACAAGGTCAGGAGATCGAGACCATCCTGGCGAACATGGTGAAACTCTGTCTCTACTAAAATACAAAAACATATTAGCTGGGTATGGTGGTGCACAACTGTAGTCTCAGTTACTAGGGAAGCTGAGCCACGGGAATTGCTGAACCTGGGAGGCAGAGGTTGCAGTGAGCCCAGATCGCGCCACTGCACCCCAGCCTAGCGACAGAACAAGATTCCATCTAAAAAAAAAAAAACAAAAAAATAAAAATCTTAACAATTAATCCACCTTGAATTTGTTTGGGAATGTGGTGGGAGATTTCTAACTTCAACATTGGGTCATATTACACTGTAACCCATAACATTTTCATTAGTAAGGCAGAGGGTAAATATTAAAGTGAACTACTGATGGCTTTCAGCCACCCATCTGTTACCAGTGTATCATTTTTCACATTTAATCTTTTACAAAAGAGCCACTTAAGAATCCATAGGAGCTCTCTAGGACCATTGTGTTTGTTGACAAGAGGAAGGTAACTTATTTTGCATCTGAATAAATTAATTAAAATATTTTATAGGAGTCCTAGACAGATTTGGAGGGAGGAAGGTGGAAACAGTTTCTCTGTGTGTCTCTGTCTCTGTCTCTCTCTCTCTCTGTCAGAATTCAATAATCTTCACGAAATCATTTAATTGAATAACTACAGCATAACCAGTTGAATAACTGGACGCCAGTCACTGGTATCTCCACACCTAGTTTCCACTACTATAAGATGACAAGCTTTAACCTGCCTATCAAGCCCTACCAGGTGCAAGAACTGGGCTAGGTGCAAAAGAGATACAGAGATGCAGACACAAATTCAATCACCTGGGAACTCACAGTCATAATCTATATGCTTCATGATGTTCATGGTTCCCTTCAACCTTGCCATGCTAATAGTCTCATTTCTTCACCATTGCTATGATTATATACAGTTATTAAATACTGGTTTAAATACAGAGAAGCCAGCAGCATTTTCTGTTTTATAAATTTGTCTCTTGTGAATAAGTGATATACAGAGGACAATTTTGTTAATCTATTAGATTTGAAATTGTAACAAAATAACCTATTTTTGGGGGGAGGGATATTATGTGAACAGCAAACAAAAGTCAATAGGTTGGGAAAAGTACCTCAGGTCTAGTCCATCTCTGCATCTCATGTGCTAGGTGACCATGGCTTCAACATTTAGTCACTCTGGGCTGCATTTCTCATACCTTAAACAAAGGCACACACAAGGCTTATAATTCTAGTGTTTGATGAAAATCATTCTGGAAAACTTAGAATATTATATATGCTCTTCTGTTCATATATATACTATTCAAGGAGTCTGTGTTTAAAGGCATAATTTGGACCCATTATAACACTTGCCTATTTCTTAGGTTATTAAATGCAAAGCAGCTGTGCTTTGGGAGCAGAAGCAACCCTTCTCCATTGAGGAAATAGAAGTTGCCCCACCAAAGACCAAAGAAGTTCGCATTAAGGTAAGCGTGAGCCCTGGAGAACTTAAGCCAAAAGCGTTATCAAACATATATTGAATATAGCACTATTGTGAGACTGGATTCTTAGATAAGGAGATGCTTCCCATGTTTGGAGTATTAATTCCTTTAGTGGCTCTTGTATATTGTTAAGGATCTGGTTGTAGTCGATGTGAAATTAATGAGTTCATTATCCCTTTAAAAAACAATGTACTTTATTATACCTTTGATTTGTTGAATTTTTATTCATATAGCATCTAATTAAAAAATGGTTAATAATCATAGCTAAAGACTTTTTAAAAAATCTTCTGGGAAGCAGATTGTTTTGAGATTACTTTTCACAAAGAATGAAGAACTCACTTGTGCCTGGAGAAATGACAACTTCATGGAACATTTTCCTCCCTTTCTTTGGACAGAGCTTAACCTTGGCTTTGGATATCAGTTGTTGAGTAGGAATTGCTACCAATCTTTCTTTGACCCTCTTACTGTTACCTGAGCACTAGAGTAGCAGTAAGATTTTGCTCCTGTATGCCATTTCCTCTGTTCTTTGTTAAGAGAGCCCAAGAAGGGCCTAGCTATAAAAATCTACTTTCGGGCCATCACATGGTAACATCCGCATTCTGGTTCCCTCACAAGAGCACCAATTTATTATAGAAAGGCACCAAGAGTCAACCTAGGGTTTGAGGGAGCAATATTATAAGTTCCATCAGAGAGGGATCTTGTGTGATGGTTGATTTTTGGCTCAGAATCATCTAAGAGTAAATGTTGTTACATTAGGCAATGATATTGACTAAACAATTATAATTTCCTCAAGAAGTTAAATATTCTCCCAACAGTGAAATGATCAGATTGTTGATTGGTGCAATGTTTTTGTCTTTGAACACAGATTTTGGCCACAGGAATCTGTCGCACAGATGACCATGTGATAAAAGGAACAATGGTGTCTAAGTTTCCAGTGATTGTGGGACATGAGGCAACTGGGATTGTAGAGAGCATTGGAGAAGGAGTGACTACAGTACAACCAGGTATATGCAGGTGTCAAGCCACAGGTTTGAAATAATTAGACTTTGATTAGCCTATCAAAGGAAATAGCACACAGTAGGAATTATTAGAGGGATCCTTAATACCATTCAGGGAAATAAAAGGATACACGAATGGATTTTACTGAGTAATGTTTAATTTGGCAAAACCTCAACTTTTAGAAGGCAAACCTTATGGTTTTTATAAACCTTAGACTATCTTTTTAAAAGTTTTACCTACAGTATGGGCTCAATTCACATTTGTTAATTTCATATTTTAACATTAATGAACAGCATCTTATATCATGATGTTTTTTTCCTATAGGTGACAAAGTCATCCCTCTCTTTCTGCCACAATGTAGAGAATGCAATGCTTGCCGCAACCCAGATGGCAACCTTTGCATTAGGAGCGAGTAGGTTTCAGTCATTTTTACTTTAATGTTATTCAAATTGTTCCTGTGCTAATTTTTGAATTGAGTTAATTAATACGTGTATTTGATGTATCAAATAGTATTACTGGTCGTGGAGTACTGGCTGATGGCACCACCAGATTTACATGCAAGGGCAAACCAGTCTATCACTTCATGAACACTAGTACATTTACTGAGTACACAGTGGTGGATGAATCTTCGGTTGCTAAGATTGATGACGCAGCTCCCCCTGAGAAAGTCTGTTTAATTGGCTGTGGGTTTTCCACTGGATATGGGGCTGCTGTTAAAACTGGCAAGGTAAGAAACAGAGTAGGCTAGTTTCTTTGTTTCTTATTTCCTTTTCTTAAATGATGTCCTTGGAATCTTGAAGAGTTTTGGGGAAAAAAAAAGATTTAAAAAATATATTGCATATCAGGCTGCCAAATCAACTGAAAGAAAAATACAAAATTCAGATTAGAAATTTTATTTCTTTTTTTACGCTTGAGAATATTTATTGATTATATTTGCAAACTGCACCATTTCTCCATTTTTAAAATATGTCCCTTCCCCGTCTGTTAAGTTTGTTAAGGTAGAATGATCTCAGTATTTCAGGCTTTTTGTCAGAACTTTTACTCCTAGTTTCTTGTCAGCTAAGTAAGAATTATTGTATAACTACAAAATAGAGTCATAAGTACATTACCAACTCCTCAGAAAAAAAGTATAATTATGTCAAATCACCTGTTATAGATAATATAAAGATCAATAAAATCATTAATCATTTGGATTACCACCTATGATGCATATCAGAAATAAAATACAGTAGTGTTTATTGCCTATAATCAGTAATGCTGTTACAGTTCACCAAAACTGATTTCTCAATATACATTTTTACATCAACTGTGATGTTAGATAGGATCCTTGGAATTTTAAATTAATCACATGAATTTCACAAGGAAATTGGAGTTCAAGGAATTAAGAATCTTTGACCTAATACAGTATAAAAGAAAAAACTTTTATCAAGAAACATAATTGAAAATTAAATTTCTAGATTTAATTTTTGTTTCTTCCACATCTCCTTCAGATTCAAATTTCTAAAATTTATATGTGTATCTAAATTTATTTACAAATGACTCAGAGTTATGATTTTTTAATTTCTTCTATTAAAAAATGGGATATATGTGCAGAACGTGCAGGTTTGTTACACAGGTATATGTGTGCCATGGTGGTTTGCTGCTCCTCATCCTCTAAGTTCCCTCCCCTATCCCCCAACAGGCCCTGGTGTGTATTGTTCCTCTCTCTGTGACCATGTGTTCTCATTGTTCAACTCCCACTTATGAGTCAGAACATGCGGTGTTTGGTTTTCTGTTCCTGTGTTAGTTTGCTGAGGATTATGGCTTCCAGTTTCATCCATGTCCCAACAAAGGACATGATCTCATTTCTTTTTATGGCTGCATAATATTCCATGGTGTATATGTACTACATTTTCTTTATCCAGTATGTCACTGATGGGCATTTGGGTTGGTTCCAAGTCTTTGCTATTGTAAATAGTGCTGCAGTAAACATATGTGTGCATGTGTCTTTACAGTAGAATGATTTATATTCCTTTGGGTGTATACCCAGTAATGGGATGGCTGGGACAAATGATATTTCTGGTTCTAGATCCTTAAGGATTTGCCATACTGTCTTCCACAATGGTTGAACTAATTTATATTCTCACCAGCAGTGTAAAAGCTTTCTTATTTCTCCATAGCTTTGCCAGCATCTATTGTTTCCTGACTTTTTAGTAATCACCATTCTGACTGGCATGAGATGGTATCCCACCGTGGGTTTGATTTGCATTTCTCTAATGATCAGTGATGTTGAGCTTTTTTCCTACGCTTATTGGCCACATAAATGTCTTCTTTTGAGAACTGTCTGCTCATATCCTTTGCCCACTTTTGAATGGGGTTGTTCATTTTTTTCTTGTATATTTGTTTACGTTCCTTGTAAATTCTGGATATTAGACCTTTGTCAGATGGATAGATCACAAAAGTTTCCTCCCATTCTGTAGGTTGCCTGTTCACTCTGATGATAGTTTCTTTTGCTTTGCAGAAGTTCTTTAGTTTAATTAGATCCCATTTGTCAATTTTGGCTTTTGTTGCAATTGCTTTTGATGTTTTTGTCATGAAGTCTTTGCCCATGCCTATGTTCTGAATGCTATTGCCTAGGTTTTCTTCTAGGGTTTTTATGGTTTTGGGTTTTACATTTAAGTGTATAATCCATCTTGCGTTAATTTTTGTATAAGATGTAAGGAAGGGATCCAGTTTGAGTTTTTTTTTGTATATGGCTAGTCAGTTTTCCTAGTATCATTTATTAAATAGGGAATCTTTCCCCATTGCTTGTTTTTGTCAGATTTGTTGAAGAGCAAATGATTGTAGATGTGTGGTGTTATTTCTGAGGCCTCTGTTCTGTTCCATTGGTCTATGTATCTGTTTTGGTACCAGTAGCATGCTGTTTTTGTTACTGTAGCCTTGTAGTATAGTTTGAAGTCAAGTAGTGTGATGCCTCTAGCATTGTTCTTTTTGCTTAGGATTGTCTTGGCTATATGGGCTCTTTTTGGTTCCATATGAAATTTAAAGTAGTTTTTTCTAATTCTGTGAAGAAAGTAGCTTGATGGGGATAACATTGAATCTATAAATTACTTTGGGCTGTATGGCCATTTTCTTGATATTGATTCTTCCTATCCATGAGCATGGAATGTTTTTCCATTTGTTTCTGTCTTCTCTTATTTCCTTGAGCAGTGGTTTGAAGTTCTCCTTGAAGAGGTCCTTCATATCCTTTGTAAGTTGTATTCCTAGATATTTTATTCTCTTTGTAGCAGTTGTGAATGGGAGTTCACTCATGATTTGTGGTTTTAACTGGAGGCCCTTTTCAGGTTTCACTTTTTGACCCTAACACCTAACATATTCAAGAACATTCCTCTCCACAGGTCAAACCTGGTTCCACTTGCGTCGTCTTTGGCCTGGGAGGAGTTGGCCTGTCAGTCATCATGGGCTGTAAGTCAGCTGGTGCATCTAGGATCATTGGGATTGACCTCAACAAAGACAAATTTGAGAAGGCCATGGCTGTAGGTGCCACTGAGTGTATCAGCCCCAAGGACTCTACCAAACCCATCAGTGAGGTGCTGTCAGAAATGACAGGCAACAATGTGGGGTACACCTTTGAAGTTATTGGGCGTCTTGAAACCATGGTAAGACCCAAAATTTGAGAAGCCACAAAATACCCAAGTTATTAGATATGCACAAGGTAAATTTAATTCTCTATAACTTTATTAATAGTTAATAAGGGAAATATCTCTGTGATTGTCAGTTTTACTCAGGCAAAAACTGATAATCACATAGCGATTTTGCCTAAAATGTCAAATACTTAAGAGCAGGTTCGCTGGATCAGAGTTAAATACCATATCATACAACTCTCAGCTGACCAGAGGGCAAGGTAGTTAACCCTTCTAGATAATTGTTTTAAGTATGACCTTCCTTGTGTATGTAGATTTCTTGGCAAAAGCGATTCTGTCTCTTGAATGTCAGCAAAGTAAGCATCAGAAGGTGACTGAGGAGAGGTGAAAAGGGATTATTCCAAATGTTGTGGTCTCTTCCCCCAAATCTGTGATCCATCGACCTTCTCACTCTTTACACCTGAGCTTTGTTTGCCCTCATCTGAATTCCCCTAGAATATGAACCTTCAGTTTTCTAACCATGCCTCCTGTATAGCAACCTGCAACACCAGACCTTCAGTTAGACCTGTAAAACAGATCCAGGGTTCCTGGGACTAGAAAGCTCCAGCCTGGCGTAGCATAAGGAGACTTGGAAAAATGGAATAAAGCCACTTTTGCTCAAGATTGAGTAGCAGATTAAATCACCTAATGCTTTTGGTAATTTAGGAATAAATAGTCCTTAATTTATCATTGTGTCATATTCTTTTCCTAGTGAATCACTTAGATTTATTTCATATCAACAAATAGCATTTTAGGTCGTAAGTTTATGAAGCCATACATGATACTGGATATATTATTAGAGCCTATTGATTTCCAGTCGCTACTTGATGAAGGCTGGTCTCTAAAAACAATGCCATCTGTCACTCCAATCTAGCAAGTATTAAATTATTAATAACTGGATGGGCTAATGACCAGAAAATGAGAGATTAGTCTCAGAAATGCTCCCAAGAAAACGGACTCTTTTGTCCCACATTTTAGTATTTTATTTAATTTTGAGACTAAACTTAAAAAGAAAACTATGCTAAATGATTTGGTATATTAATTCAATTTAGTTTAGTTCAAATGGCTTTCTAAGGCTTATCTGAAGTGGTGATATTGGTATGAAAATATCACAAGAATTTTCCCTGTGTTTTAGTCCATGGTACACTGAAAATGCCACAAACACTGACCACATTGATTGCTGTTTTCTGCCTTAAAGGGCAAATGTGTATAGAAATTTAATTAAGGACTAAAGTTGCACTGAAACATTTTTAAAGCAAGTAAAAAACAGAAGATGGCTTAATTTAATTCCATGACTTTGCCATAGTACATAGGTCATTTCAGAGCTTATGTTACACTATAAGAGACATAGGAAGCAAACGATCTCCTCTATTTTAAACTCAGATTGATGCTCTGGCATCCTGCCATATGAACTATGGGACCAGCGTGGTAGTAGGAGCTCCTCCATCAGCCAAGATGCTCACCTACGACCCGATGTTGCTCTTCACTGGACGCACGTGGAAGGGATGTGTCTTTGGAGGTGAGGAAAACAAAGCCTCTGGATGAGGAGTGATGGCTTTCACTCTGTTGCTTGGCAAGTGGGAGAAGCCTGTTTCCTCAGGCCTTTCTTCCAAGAATGAGTATGAAGGGATTTAAAATGGAACTGTGACAATAAAAACACAAAAGATAATTCTCCACTGCTCACCTTGATGTAGGACTAATATTGGTGGACACATTTTTGATATTAGCATCTGCAACTGAAGTTCCCCAAAGGCCTGAATGAGAGACACCAGTAGTGTTTCTATAGGGATGAATTATGTGACAGGAAGTTCTGATTTAATCCATTTTTATTAATATATGCAAGAATGTGTATTAAAATGAATGTATTCGATTCATAATAGCACCAACAAAAATCCCGGACCCAAAGCCAAAACGAACAACAATCTAAAAAAGAATTGTCACATTTTATGGGAACAGTTCAGATTCACACTGGAAGGACTTAGATTATCACTCAACAATTAATATTGTTTTAGGAAAGATGGAGCCAGGGTCACTCTGCTCAAGGCAGGTGACACAGCGAATCCTTTTATTTCCCTCCTTCACAAAGTCTCGTTTTCTAGTGCCTTCATACAGAGCTGTACTGGGTGCTTTAGAGTACTTCCAATATTGGAGTCTGCCTTAAACAATATAAGAGAATAGTAACTGTTAAGTACTTGTTAAGAGTATAAAAAGGAGAAAATGATGTTCTTCACTTAGAGAAGTACATAATATAGTGAAGGATACAAAAACAAATATAAAAGAAAGATATGAAAATAAGTGTAGCTATAGATATTATAAAACAAATTATAAGAGGAGTTTTTCGCATTTATTCTATGTTAAAAGTTTTACATTGATGTGTTAGTTTATTTTATTTCTCAGTAACTCTCCGAGGAAGCTACTTAATGAATAAAAAAACTGAGACTTGGAACTATTAAGTTTTTTGCCCCTATAGCTCTCAAGTTGAGAACTGAAATTTAAAACGGGTCCATGGGAGAACAAAATTTTTCCTCTTTCTGCAACATTACTTGGGGCATAACAAAAGCAAGAGGCCAGTAGATATGGATGAGATTTTATAGAGAAGGCTTCTTAGGGAGAATAAAACTTGAATTGAAGAACAAAACAATAAGAGATATAAGTTAAACTTCCTTGTTTTGACTATTTGTGGGAAGTGGGAAGATTATAGATTATTCAGGAATATTAGAGATACAATTCAATTATTCAGCAAATATTTGTTGAGTGTATACTGAGTACAGGCACCACTGTGTATACAGTGTACCATTCCAGGAGCTAGGAAGGGAGAAGAGACAAAACATACCAAGTCCCTGATCTCAGGAAGTGTGAGAATCCTCTCATTTTGGTACAGAGAGACTGACAATAAATAAATGAATGCGGAGTACACCATATGATTACAAGTGTAAAGGTAAAAATAGAGGATGGGTAATAGGCAGTGCCAGAGGACCAGGGTGGAGGTGGAGGCGAATGCTATTTTATAAAGCTCGAGGAAGGCCTCCTTGATAAGGTAACATTGAGGCAAAAACACAAATAAGATATTCAAAAATCTTGGGAAAGAATATTCCAGGAAGGGAACATAGTAAATACAAAAGGGTGTTGGCAAGAACCATAAGAACGGGGAAAAGGTCAGTATGGCTACAATGGAGTGAGGACAGAAGAACAGTCACAGCTGGGGTCAGAGGACCTTATATTATATGGGGCCTTTGGGCCATTGCAAGGTTTTAGGAGTTTATTCTGAGAGAGAAATAAAACTATAGAGGCTTCTGAGAGAAGTGTCACCTGATCTGACTTCCATTTTAACACTCTCCCTCTGGCTGCAATATGAGGAATACTCTATATGGGGCAAAGAGCACAAGCAGGGAGATCATGGAAGAAGTTATTATAATGCTGGAAGGAAAGGATGCTGGCTTGGAGTGATGGGGCTGGTGAGAAGTAGTCAGATCTTGGATACATTTTGAAGACACAGCCAACAAGATTTGCTGAAATAGTTATTGCATGGCAAAAAGAGTAGAATCCAAGATTTTGGGGCCTAAGCAACAGGAATCATGTCACTATCATCATTTATTGAGAAGGGAGACTATGGAAGGAATAGATTGGGGGCTATGATGGAAGTGGTAGATACCAGGAGTGGTTTGGGGCAGGTTACACTCACAGAGATATCTGAATAAAGATGTCTATAAAATGTAGGCAATTGGGTATGAGTCTGTAGCACAGGTAGAGGTTTAGGATGGGTATACAAACCTAAGTGTTTTAAGTGGAGTATATCGAAAGCCACAAGACCAGAAGCAGCCACCCTAGAAGTAAATGTAGATAAAGAGGAGAAATGGACCAAGGACCAAGCCCTAGGAATCTTTAGAGTTAGAGGTCTGAGAGATGTAGAGGATCCAGCAAAGATCTGTGGAAGAAGTAACTAGTGAGCAAGGAAAATGACAATGATGATGGTGATGATGTAGTATCTAGAAGCTAAGAGAATACAGTGTTTGAGAAAAGGGGAGCCACCAACAGTATCAATTCTACCTAACAGTTCATATAAGAGCAGGACTGAGAAATGACCCTTGTCTGGGTCAAAATGGAGCTCAAAGATGACCTTGATGATAGCTGTTACAGGACAGTGCTGGGGGCAAGAGCATAATCAGAGTGGGCTCAGAGAGGATGAGAGGAAAGGAACAGGATCCAGAAACAATGAACTGGAGACAATTCTTTCTGTAAAGTAAAGAAATTTCTCTTTACAGAGCAAAGATATGGGGTGAATGGAAAAAGATGTGGGTATCAAAAGAGTTGTTTTAAACCTTTGTTTCTTTTTAATTTGGTTTTATTTTTATTTTACTTTAAGTTCTGGGATACATGTGCAGAACGTGCAGGTTCATTACATTGGTATACAAGTGCCATGGTGGTTTGCTGCACCCATCAACCCATCATCTAGGTTTTAAGCCCCGCATGCATTAGGTATTTGTCTTAATGCCCTCCCTCCCCTTGCCCCCCATCCACCAACACACCCTGGTATGTGTCGTTCCCTTCCCTGTGTCCATGTGTTCTCATTGTTCAACTCCCACTTATGAGTGAGAACATAGAGTATTTGGTTTTGTGTTCCTGTGTTAGTTTGCTGAGAATGATGGTTTCCAGTTTCATTCATGTCCCTGCAAAGGACATGAACTCATTCTTTTTCATGGCTGCATAACCTTTGTTTCTTATGCTGGGGCAAATACAGCTTATTTGTACACTGCTGGGAATTATCTAACACAGGGAAGGTGATAGTACAGGAAAGAGAAGGAATAAACATAAGATAATAAAAGGTAAAGATTACTTAGTAATGTCTAAAGAGAAAATGTGTCCTTATTTACAGGTTTGAAAAGCAGAGATGATGTCCCAAAACTAGTGACTGAGTTCCTGGCAAAGAAATTTGACCTGGACCAGTTGATAACTCATGTTTTACCATTTAAAAAAATCAATGAAGGATTTGAGCTACTCAATTCAGGACAAAGGTAACTGTTTCTTATGATGATCTTGTCTCTTCTCCACAGGCTACTTTTTAAAATTTAGTACTTATAAATGTGCCTGTTTTCTTCATATTTTATTTCTAATTATTTAATCTAGCCAGATTGATACAGTTAATTACTTCTCTTTACCCACTATATTAGTCTATTTTCATACTGCTATTAAAAAAAAACTGCCCAAGACTGGGTCATTTATAAAGGAAAGAGATTCAATTGACTCACAGTTCAGCATGGCTGGGAGGCTTCAGGAAACCCACAGTCATGGTGGAAGGCAAAGAGGAAGCAAGGCACCTTCTTCACAGGCTGCAGGAAGGAGAAGAGGGGAAGCAAAGGGGGAAGAGCCCCTTACAAAACCATCAGATCTTGTGAGAACTCACTATCATGACAACAGCATGGGGGAAACTGTCCCTGCCCCCCCGATTCAATTACCTCCACCTGGTCCCTCCCTTGACATGTAGGGATTATAGGGATTACAATTCAAAATGAGATTTGGGTGGCGACACAAAGTCTAACCATATCACCAACTTAGTATGCCATTGTACTCAATCAAGTTTTTAAAATCTTTTGGATTTTGTTTGTTTACCTAGTTGATCTCAGTGTGGCTATTTTTATTTCATCATAAAGCTGCTAGTTATTTCAAGTAGGCCACAAAATTTTCTTATTTTACAGTTTTCAAAGTGCTTTCTCACATGAGCATTTTTCAGATCCCTGTAGGCCAGGTATTATTTTTACCATTTTTAGATGAAGACTAAGGTTGTGAAAGCAAATAAATAACTCATCAAACCTCCTGGGGTAGTGCCAGGATACAAACTAATTGCAAAACTTGTGCTCTTTTGACCACATAACAAACTTCTCTGACAGAGCTTGGCAAGCTCTGGGTAAACATGGGTGTGATGATTTTTACTCTTGCTGTTTCTGAGGGTGTGGCAAGGGTTGAGGTCAAGTACGAGTTCATGCAAATTTTATCTACAGCATCCACCTCATGGAGGTCTCAAACAGCAATCAAAAAGCCTGTCTACAAGATGAAATGACTTTCACTCATTGGGTCTATAAATAATTATTAAGCTTCCACTATGTGCCAAGGACTTGATTTCGTTAGCAAAAGGATCTATATATTGAGATCCAAATTTTTGCTAATTTTTTTTTTTTTTTCTACTTGAGAGCTTTACAATGTTGTGTTTTGTCTCCACATCTGGTCTAGCCTACAGGATCATCATATTATGAACATACATGCTTTTAAGCAAGTAAACAATGGGATTCCATAAGAAAAACTGTCAGAACCACTCAATACTACTTTACCCAGATAAGCAAAACTAAAAACTTAGTATGGCCTGCTTGGAAAATAATTACTATTTGTTTTCCAGAGAAACATCAATTCTGCTTTCAGGAATTTTGCTTCAAATATCATCTTAATGCAGGGACAGCCAAACTAATATTTGTAAACCTAAACTCTTCAATTTCCATCTACTTCCTGCACAGCTCCATTTGAATGTCCCACTTACATCAACTACACTCAAAATATGTTTTTCGCCAGTAATTTTTATCTCAGTCATTGTATTATGCATTCCCCTTTTACAGATGAGAAGCCCTAGCATCATGTCTGACTTCTTTTTCACTCTTGCCTACCACATACAAACCAATGCTAACCCTTGATGATGCAACCCTTGGTTTCTCCTTCAGCATCCCTCTTTCATTGCCCATGCTCATTGCTTTAATTCAGTCTAATCATTTCTGACATGGACATGGTAGTGAGATAATACATTTTCCACCTTCCGTATTAAAATACATTCCAATTAGTCTCTCACTCAGCTGCCGAGCGCAAGATTCCCCAAAATGTCAATGTCTTAGCATGGTTTTGAAAGCTTTGTTATTGAACTAAAACCTATTTTTTTTCAACAGGTAAGAATTTGGCATTCATTCTATCACCCTCTGCAGCAGGCTTTTGGGATAAAGTGAGGGAAGTGGGTCTCATCTACTTGCAGGATCTCTTGGGCATCCAGAAATCTAAGCACACTGGATTACCTGTCCTGTTCATATGTTCCTAGGCTTGTTCATGCTTTCTCCTCAGCCTGAAAACCACTTTCCTCTTGTTGGCATACTGAAATTATACTGATGTTTTCAAAATTAGCTCAGATACCCTTATCAGAGTTGCATAAGAAGAAAACTAATTGGTAAGGACTTTGAGTCCAAAGGATTTCCAATAACAGAATTTACTTGAATTTTCTATGACAGATAGAAAAGACAATTGTTTAAACTATCCTCTCTTGAAAGATATTGAAACAAATCATTAAAAACTCTCATTTTACATTTCAGCATTCGAACTGTCCTGATGTTTTGAGATCCAAAGTGGCAGGAGGTCTGTGTTGTCATGGTGAACTGGAGTTTCTCTTTTGACAGTTCCCTCATCTGAAATCATGTATCTGTCTCACAAATACAAGCATAAGTAGAAGATTTGTTGAAGACATAGAACCCTTATAAAGGATTATTAACCTTTATAAACATTTAAAGTCTTGTGAGCATCTGGGAATTAGTATAATAGCAATGCTAATATTTTTAATTTACATTTTGTAAGGCTATAATTGTATCTTTTAAAAAAACATAGACTTGGATTTCTACATTGTAATGGAGATTTTTAAGAGCTTTAACCAGCTGCTGCAGATACATATCTCAAAACAGATATAGCATATAAAGATACAGTAAATGCATCTCCTAGAGTAATATTCACTTAACACATTGAAATTATTATTTTTTAGATTTGAATATAAGTGTACTTTTTAAACACTTGTTATGAGTTAACTTGGATTAGGTTTTGAAATCAGTTCATTCTATGATACATATTACTTGATTAGATTAAGAAAGGCAGAAAAGATTAAGGGAAGGGCACATTTTTCACAGATTAAGAATCATCATTACATAACTTGATGAAACTGAAAAAGTATATCATATGTGTATTTGAGGTTATTTGCTGGCATATATTAATATTTTAGAAAATATTCCTTTTTGTAATACCAAATATAAACATAGAGCTAGAATCACATTATCATATTTATCATAATGTTCAATTTGATACAGTAGAATTGCAAGCTCCTAAGTCCCTATTCACAGTGCTTAGTAGTGACTCCATTTAATAAAGTGTTTTTAGTTTTTCACAACTACACTGATGTATTTATATATATCTATAACATGTTTAAAATTCTTAAGAAAATTTTAAAAATTGGGTTTTTAAAAAAATTATTATTATACTTTAAGTTGTAGGGTACATGTGCATAACGTGCAGGTTTGTTACATATGTATACTTGTGCCATGTTGGTGTGCTGCACCCATCAACTCGTCAGCACCCATCAACTCGTCATTTACATCAGGTATAACTCCCAATGCAATCCCTCCCCTCTCCCACCTCCCCATGATAGGCCCCGGTGTGTGATGTTCCCCTTCCCGAGTCCAAGTGATCTCATTGTTCAGTTCCCAACTATGAGTGAGAACATGACATGCATACAGCCAATAGACACATGAAAAAATGCTCATCATCACTGGCCATCAGAGAAATGCAAATCAAAACCACAATGAGATACCATCTCACACCAGTTAGAATGGCAATCATTAAAAAGTCAGGAAACAACAGGTGCTAGAGAGGATGTGGAGAAATAGGAGCACTTTTACACTGTTGGTGGGATTGTAAACTAGTTCAACCATTATGGAAAACAGTATGGTGATTCCTCAAGGATCTAGAACCAGAAGTACCATATGACCCAGCCATCCCATTACTGGGTATATACCCAAAGGATTATAAATCATGCTGCTATAAAGACACATGCACACGTATGTTTATTGCAGCACTATTCACAATAGCAAAGACTTGGAATCAACCCAAATGTCCATCAGTGACAGACTGGATTAAGAAAATGTGGCACATATACACCATGGAATACTATGCAGCCATAAAAAAGGATGAGTTTGTGTCCTTTGTAGGGACATGGATGCAGCTGGAAACCATCATTCTCAGCAAACTATCGCAAGAACAGAAAATTTTAAAAATTGTATAAAATGTTTTGTGGTCATATATTTTTAAACAGGCAGTTTTATGTTGTTATTGAGCTTTTATTTGTTAAACATGAAGTGTTGAAGCACCTGAAAACATAAAAATACTTTATAAGACACATAAGAAGTTGAGTGGTCACAGCAGAAATTGAGGCTTCCAATATTAGGGCATAATATAGATTGGACACTTCTACCATGGTAAATTGCAAAATGTCCAGGTATTTATGAACCAGTTTCACATGATGAATATTTCCCAATGAAAAGTGTCATGAACTCAAGGGGTAAAATTTCCTTTTTCTTTTACCAGTTTGTCAATCTAGGCTTAATCTAGGTTTAAAAAAAATAGCTGAAAAGTATAAATAATTATTTTGAAGTATCTTCATCATCAACTGGGTTTAGCTATGGCAATTCTCAAAATACTATGAATAGTTACAGCTTATAAGAATTACATTTTATGTATTCATATATATCTGTATTTATATCAATAAATAGATGATAGATAGGTAGATAGATAGATAGATAGATAGATAGATAGATAGATATAGATAAGTATAGAAAATCTCTACCCAATAATCATTTGGAGACATTTCCTCTGTCCATTATCAATATCTATAGCTAGGATCCCAGAATCCATTAAGGAAAGAAAACTGTCCCCCAAAAAAGCATTTTTAACAAGAAAAATATGTAGAATGGATTAATTCCTTTAATTCTCTTGCCTCAAATTTTGAAAAACATGTAAATAAGGATACTGAAAGCAATATGTAAATATAGGTGCATCAAAAGAAATAAATCCAAGAAGGAATAAATACATTTATATTCTCAGATCACAGCTTTTTAAATGAAATCCACTTTATGCTTACTTCCTACAAATTATAATTTGACAAATACGCTGCATATGTGACAATTTTATTTATTTAGTATTTATTAGGATACTTTGTGGAATCATTCCTCATATCTGAGCTTGTCATGGCCAAATAATGAAGAGAAAGACCTTCTACTATCTTTCTCAGGGTAACTTGCACATGAATAGCATTTTGAGTCACCAGAAAACACTGGTTCTAAGAAGAGATCAGGAAATCTGATTATTTTTGCATATTTCTTATTTCTGGTCAATGAAACCACAAAGCATTGTCAAACTGAGTTCTTGAATATAAATCAAAATATAAGTAAGCAATAAATAGCTAGAGGAATGCTAAAAGAAATACCTGGCTTCTTCTTTAAAGAATAGTCTAGACTTTTAATCATTTAACTGATATGTGGAGAACATTCATTGGGCAATTTTTTTTTTTTCTTTAATTTCAACCATGTATCAAGCACTGAGCTAGGTGTTTGGTATACAGTAATGAATAAAACAGATAAAGTCTCTTCCCTTGTAGAGCATATGGTCTAGTAGTGATAGCAGCTCCTCTCTGCTAGGAACTGAACACTCTTCGGCACACCCTGGCTGCAGAAAGGAGTGACCCACTGCAGGTCTCGTCTGAGCTATTCTGTCACTCAATAAAGCTCTGCTTCGCCTTGCTCACCCTTCAGTTGTCTGCGTACCTCATTCTTCTTGTTCTCAGGACAAAAACTTGGGGCCCACCAAATAGCTGGGTAAAAGAGCTGTAACACCAACAGGGCTGAAACATGCCCCTTGCTCACCAAGTTGCGGGCGACAAGGAGAGAAAAGAGATGGAGAGAAGAACTGCGACCCTTTGGGGAGCCCAGACCTAGGAACTCCCTAAGCCAGGGCTGTAACACCCTCTTTGGACCTCTATGGTTCCTGATGTCTCCAAGCTTCCGGGCACCACTGCATTCTTGGTGTCAGCTGTGGAAGCTGCTTATGGTATGTCTGGTCCAGCCGCAGACTTGCAGGAAGCTGGTGCTCATGCCAGCACCTGGAGCTGCCCACCTGCTGCAGCCAGCATGCCTGGCTGTGTGCAGTTGCCAGACCCCACACTTCCTCACACACCCCTCATCACTCCATGACTGGCTCGCCCTTGACAGGTGTGGGGCCCAGACCAGTAGCATGAGTTGAGCATAGCCTGCCAGGTCGAGTGGGCAGAATGTGCCCAGCAGGCCAGAGCAAAACACAAGCAAAGGCACCATTGGCCACAGAGGTTTCCGGCTGGCAAGGCGACACCCCAAGGATCCTGTAACAGTAGGAGATTTAATAAGTAAATAAACATATAAGTATATTACTTCAATTTTTGATAAATGATAAATAAGACAATGATCAAGGTGCTGTGTTAGAGAGATAAAAGAGGGAAAACAGGAAGGTATTTCCAGCTCTCTATAAGGTATTTGAAGGCCTCTCTGAAGAGGTAAATTTAAGCTTACATGAAAGGATAAGCTAGAGCCAGTTCTATGAAGAGAGGAGCAAAATTTTCTCAGGTGAATGAACAACATGGCCAAAGGCCATTAATTTGGAAAAAACTCACCCATTTATTGTTGGAAACTATAAAAGGGCCAGTGTTGCTGGTATTTGCTGCAAAACGTTAATGATATTGTTTAGGTTCATGAAGCTGAAAAAAATGCCAAATCCTTGTGGACATTTTTATCTCAATAATACATTTATCTCAATAACCAGCTTCCTTATCTACATTTCCAGAAGACAATGTGATTTGATTAGTGCCAAAATTGATATGAAATTATTTTAATTTAGAGGAAAAAAAGGACTATATAGGAAGAGCATTCCCAAGAGTACCCTCTTGCCCATGGCTTCAACTCCAGTCTCTGCAAAGATTTCTTCCACAAGCAATTTCTTTTTTGTTTCTCATTCCTCTTTACATCTAGAATTATTTATATTTTTATGTAATAAGTAACTAACCAAGGCCTCATAAACTAGTTTGTAGTATTCATCTTCTTCATGCCTAGGTATTTGTCCATTTTTTTTATTCCTTACTCCCTCACAGAGTTAAATTCCCTTCATTAAGGAAAATCTCGATTACCGAGACCACCAGCTTTAGGTTCCAGTAGTTCTTTCCACCATGTATCTGACTTTGTCTATTACCCTATAGGGTACAGAAAAGTGACGGATGCCTTCACTGAAAGTCCACCCCATTTTACATGTAAAGTGTCAGAAAATAAGAATTATGTTCTAAGTTCTTTCTCAAAACAGTACCTAGTATTAAAAGAACATGTACCCAAAGGACACTAGGCAAATTCTTAGCTGATTCCACAATTGAATTGAGAGGATTATGTATTTATGGCTGTGTCACGTGTCCAGGTCATTAACTGCATCTTCATGTGAGCCAAATAACTGAATGAAATAGTAAAGCATGTTTTTGGCGACAGCTCTTTCAGGTAGTCAAATTTTTAATTTTAAATTTGGAATTTTTTTCTGTTCTGTAAATGAATGAGACTTACACTTCAGATTCAAGTCAACATTTTAATTAAAAATAACATTTACTAGCATTAGGACAAATACCTAATGCATGTGGGGCTTAAACCTAGAAGACGGGTTGATAGGTGCAGCAAACCACCATGGTACATGTATACCTGTGTAACAAACCTCCACGTTTTTCACATGTATCCCAGAACTTAAAATAAAATTTAAAAAAATAATGTTTACTTGAATTTGCCATGGCATACTTGAAAAAAAATGGATACATTGTTTTAATTTCACTAGCATTTTATAAATTTCAATGCAAGTTTTTGGCAAAGAACCACATAGTTATATAACTCCCTGGCATGCATCATCTTAGTACTATTTATTCAGAAAGACCTTTTATAAAACAAACTTCCCTCCAAAAAAAGGAAGTACAAATATTGTACTCCGATTGTGTATTACAACTTGTCAAAAGTGTGATGTGGTGACCTAATTCAAGAGATCTGGGTTTGAGTACAACTCTACCTCCAATTAAAACTCACAGTAACTATTTCCTGAAGTCTCATATAGCATTCTTAAAGTTTTTAACTAGAATAAGGGTTCTTTTCTTGTTATTACTGACTTTTCTGTACCTACCATGATTTTGAGAGGGTTTCTGAAATTGTCATAAAGTTGGTTGTTGGTTTTTCTTTACCTTCCAAAAGAAGACTGAGGAGTGTCTCCTTAAGGAATAAAAGGTGCTAACGCACTTACAATTTGCTGCTTCAAACTAGGGGACTTGTCTAGTGCATTTGTTCTAGGAAATTAGAATCATAGACATAGTCTCTCCTGGAAGCCACT